GGGCCTTCCTGCACTCCCTACGGTGGCGAGGAGGAGAGGAGGACGAAGACGAAGACCTGGCGGAGGAGAAGGAAGAGGAGGAGGAGGAGGAGGAGAGGAAAGGAGAGGAAGAGGAGGATGCCGAAGAGGAAGAGGTCTTCCTGGCCAGACAGACCTGCAGTGCCGGTTTCAGGCGCGGTGGACGCCTCCGTTCGGTGGAAAGGCGCTTCTGGGCTCGGCCACGCAGTACCGAGTGGTGGGACCGGACCGTTCTGGAGACCTGGGACGATGGCGAGTGGTTGCAGAACTTCAGGATGTCCAAGGCGACCTTCTTGAACCTGTGTGCCCGGCTGGCTCCGGCTTTGCAGCGCCAGAAGACGCGGATGCGGATCCCGCTGAGCGTGGAGAAACGGGTGGCCATCGCCCTCTGGAAGCTGGCCACCTCTGTCTGCTACCGCGACGTCGGCAACCAATTCGGCGTGGGCAGGTCCACCGCTGGCTCAGTGGTGTTGGAGGTCTGCCGGGCCATTCAGAGGGTCTTGATGCGCTCCACGGTGAACGTAGGGAACAACCTGGCTGATATCATCCGCGGCTTTGAAGCCAGGGGGTTCCCCAACTGCGCCGGTGTGGTGGGCACCAGCCACATGCCTATCTTGTGCCCTCCTCACCAAGCATCCGAGTACGTCAACACCAAGGGCTACTACTCGATGGCCTTGCAAGCTCTGGTGGACCATCAAGGGAAGTTTACCCATCTGAGTGCAGGGTGGCCCGGCAAGACTCACGAAGCCAAGATCTTCAACAAGTCCACCTTGTTCACCAAAGGGCAGGAAGGGACGCTTTTCATGCCTGCTTCCATGGAGATCAATGGTGTATCGGTCCCTCGGGTCATCTTAGGAGGGCCAGCCTACCCTCTCCTTCCGTGGTTGATGGTGCCCTACGCTGAAGGTCTGGATGAGACCAAGGAGGCCTTCAATACCACGTTGAGCCGATGCCAGGAACCCCTGGAAGAAGCCTTCAGCCGCCTGAAGGGCCGGTGGCGCTGCCTGACGGGACGCAACGATTGTGCGGTGGAGAACCTTCCCCGCCTCATCTCGGCCTGTTGCGTCCTGCACAACATCTGTGAGGAGAAAGGAGAGGCCTACGAGGAGAAGTGGGAAATGGAGGCTAGGCAGCTGGCCGCCACCTTCGAACAGCCTCTGCAGCGGCCTGATACACGCATTAAGCCCGCCGCACGGTCAGAGAAGGTGCGGGACACGCTCTGCATGTATATCTCTGGCAAGATATGAGGAGCAGAAGGAGGCCCGGCTGCAAGGATTTTGGGGGAGTCCTGGCCTGAATTGAGACTTTGCACCCAGGGCATGGTCAGGTTGCACCCCAAAACCGCACCAAGAGTTCTGGGGAGCGTTTAGCTGGCAGACTGTGTTCTTGAAATTGATTTTGGTGTGAAGAGTTCAGAAATCTAGGGTAGGGAATCCATAGATTAATGTTTCTTAATCTTGGCTACTTTAAGATGGGTGGACTTCAACTCCCAGAATTCCCCAGCCAGCCAGCCATCTTAAAAGTGTCAGAGGTTGCTGACCTCCATGTTGGCTGGGGAATTCTGGGAGTTGAAGTCCACCC